GGAGGGTAGTCGGGTTGCGCTGCACCAGGGAGCTCCACCATCCTCTGAGTTGCAGGCCGCCTAGGAGCAAGTCAAGTGACGAGTCCACCAGGCAGTTCGCCACTAGGCAGTTCGCCCCCAGGCAGTTCGCCACCAGGCAGTTTGCCCCCAGGCAGTTTGCCACCAGGCAGTTCGCCCCAGGGAGTTCGCCACCAGGGAGTTCGCCACCAGGGAGTTCACCACCAGGCAGTTCGCCCCCAGGCAGTTCGCCATCAGGCAGTTTGCCCTCAGGCAGTTCGCCACTAGGCAGTTCGCCACCAGGCAGTTCGCCCTCAGGCAGTTCGCCACCAGGGAGTTTGCCCCCAGGCAGTTCGCCACCAGGCAGTTCGCCCTCAGGCAGTTCACCACCAGGGAGTTCGCCCCCAGGCAGTTCGCCACCAGGGAGTTCGCCAACAGGCAGTTCGCCACCCGACAGTTCGTCACCAAGTAGCTCTCCACCAGGGAGCTCGCCACCGGGCAGGTCGGCCCCAGGCAGTTCGCCACCAGGGAGTTTGCCACTAGGCAGTTCGCCCCCAGGCAGTTCGCCACCAGGGAGATTGCCACCAGGCAGTTCGCCACCTGGCAGTTCGTCACCAAGTAGCTCTCCATCAGGGAGCTTGCCACCGGGCAGTTCGCCACCAAGCAGTTCGTCACCAAGCAGTTCTCCCCCAGGGAGTTCGCCACCAAGTAGCTCATCACCAAGGCACGTCACGACCGGGTCAAACAACGAGGTACTTAGCCAAAAAATTTATCCATCACAAAAAATGGTATGTGACCAAAAACGGTTACATCAATTGGCGCCGTCTGTGGGAAAATGCTACAAAAAGCTAAGTTCTCATCCTACAAAAGCTAAGTTCTCATCTTACCAAAGCTAAGTCCTCACTTTTTTTTGAAGCTATCGCATTATAGTTTACATTTTTTATGAACTCAAAGACTATGTAGGGAGCTAACAGACTAAGTAGCTCTACCAACCTTACATTCAATTCAGATAATGCCTCATCAGTCCTCTCCGCAAGGTTCCCCCTACAAAGATGAGCTCTTCGTGGCTTCCACAGGAGTTGACGGCCAACAGACTACATAGGCGCCCTTACCGGTCGAGCCTTCCAAGGCTCCCGTGTGAGATGGCGACCTAAAGTTAGTAGTGCTGCCCCCGAAGGTCGAGCTCCTAGTAGCT